GGGGCACTGGGGAGTTCGTTACATCTACATCTATATATATATATATATACACCTACATCTACATCGACACCTACATCTACATCTAGACCTACATCTACATCTACACCTACAGCTACATCTACAGCTACACCTGCATCTACATCTCCATCTACCTCAATAGCAGACTCACATCTAAATCTACATCTACACCTACATCTACACCTACATCGACATCTACATCTACACCTACGTCCACATCTACACCTACACCTACATCTACATCTACATCTACACCTTCGCATTGGTTTTGCGTTTGCTTTGCATTGCCTTTGCGTTTGCTCTTGCCTGTGCTGTTGCCTTTGCCTTTGCTTTTGCGTTTGCGTTTGCTTTTGCTGCTGTGTGTGCTTTGCTATGCTATGCTATGCTATGCTATGCTTAAGCTGCCCCACTTAGGGCTCAAGATGGCCCACAGACGGACAACATGCATGGAACATACGTGCGCACACACATATAAGTGTGTATATATATATATATAGAGCAGCAGCAATAGTGGATGCTGTGCTGCGCTATGCTATGCTATGCTATGATATGATATGCTATGCTATGCTGCGCAATGTTATGCTGGGCTAGGCTAGGTTATGCTATGCTATGCTATGCTATGATATGCCATGCTATGCTGCGCTATGCTATGCTGCGCTATGCTATGCTATGCTATGATATGCTATGCTATGATATGCTGCGCTATGCTATGCTGCGCTATGCTATGCTATGCTATGATCTGCTATGCTATGCTTTTGCTTTGCCTTCGCTTGTGCCTGCACTTTTGCCTTTGCTTTTGCTTTTGCTTGGCACCCAGGGAGCGCAACTGGGGGAATCGCGCGTTTGCTTTTACCTTTGCTGTTGCTTGTGCTTGGCTCCCAGGGGACTGGGGGAACCGCCCGGGGCGGTTTGCACTGCCCAGCCCCTTTAAGCCAAGCGAGTAAGAACCCTTCTAGGCAGAGCCTAGGTAGGGAAAAATCCGAGGGGTGACGATTAATTAAAGAAAGGTTTCGGCCCGCCGGGTATTTACTCGTTGCGCATAAACAATAATATAGATAGGCGGCCCCTCCGGGACAGGGAGGGGCCCTTCCTGAATCGTCGACCCTCATTAAGAATGCCCCTGCCTTCGATGAGGGGGAACGTTCGGGGGACTGGCTCAGGCGGGGAAACATCGACCTGGAATTGGCGATACGTCGCCGATAGATCCGCCGTAGACCGCTGATAGCGGATCTGCATACTCCTAGGTGGGGTGGGCTATCGGACCCCGTATCGGCGATCGATCGGGGGTGGAGGATCGATGCCTCCCCTCCGGAGCCTATCACCCCTAACCTGACCCCTGCTTCTGAGAAGGCCCCCGCCTTCTCAGACGACCGCCCCGCTCGCCCCCCCCACTTGTGCGCGCCTCCAGGAACGTCGAGCGGCTGGTGCGCTCTTCTTGCCGCTGGGGCGTCCGCGAGCACCAGCCCAGCGATCAGGCCAAAGGCTGCCTAAGCCAAAACGGCTGACGCGGGAAATGGAAGAAGTGGAAGTGGAAACGACGAGGACGAGGACGACGAGGAGGAAGAAGAGGAGGAGGACGCAAACGGAAATGTGTGGTTTCTTGGACTCGCATCTGCTTGAACATGCCATGGCACGGCCCGCTGATAACACACCGCAGTCAGACGAGCGGGGGACCTGAGCGGGCCCGCACCAAAGACCTCCTCTGGCGAAGGGTCACTAGCCGAAGAAGCATCGGCATGAGAATACTGTAAGTTTCTGGAGTTCCGCGCGGAGTTCTTGGATCGGCGCTGGACCCTCCTCCCCTGGCGCGTGGAGCGCGTCAGGGGCGGCGCCAGAGACACTGCCAGGGGGGGTCCAGCGCCGATCCAAGAAAACCTGCGCGGCACTCGGAAAGTGTGTGTTTATGCCGACATACTCCCTACGAGTCATTCTTTACGTGCAGTCCCAAGCAATGCCAAGGGGAGGTCACCACTTAGGGGACCATCACCTCCTCCAGGCAACGTACCCCGCCGGATCTCGCTGGGTTTCGAGGATCCCCAGAAACATCCAAGACCTCCTCGATCCCTGAGATCCGACGTTGCAAAACAACATGCGACATCGCAAACAAAAACACGACCAGACCCCATCTCTCTGCGTCCTCTCTCCAGCTGGATCGACCTGTGAGGGCCCCCGGGGGCCCGAGACCGAGCGGAAACGCCCGCTGTGAATAACATAGGGCGACCGAATCTATACATATCCACTGCTCCCTGGCCAGGCACACCGTGAACCCAGCAGCAGTGTATACGCCACACCCTCCTGGCTGGGCCAGGAGGGCGTATACACAGCTCGTGGGTTCAGAGTGGGCCTGGCCAGGGAGCAGTGGATATGTATAGATTTCGTCGCCCGATAACATGCAGCCCCAGGATCTCGGAGATCCTCGACCTCCCCGCGGCACTGCCCGGCAGGCGAGGGGGGGGGCGGCCGCGGCGGCGGCGCCGGGCTCCGGGGCCGCTCCCGCGAGGGGGCACTGCCGCTGCAGCGCCCGGAAGCCGCTGGCGGACATGGACGGCATGCGCTCCTGGCGCCGGCGGCGGGGGGGTCCGTCGCCGACGGCGGCGCCTCCCGCTTCCTGAGGAGGAGGAGGAGGAGGAGGAGGAGGAGGAGGAGGAGGAGGAGGAGGAGAAGGGAGCGAGGAGGAGGAGGAGGAGGAGGAGGCCGCCTGCGCCTTTTTTCACGCTGGACAAACATCAGCGGCTGGGCTGTCCTGTGCCGCGGCGGCACGAGCTCTTGCAGGGGCGGGCGCGGAAGAGAAAACGGTAGGGAGCGCAGCACCTGGAAACGAGGCAGGCATAGAACGCAAAGGACAAAGGCGAATGCTACGACAGCAGACAAAGAGTAGGCAGATGCCTCCTCCTCCTCCTCCTCCTCCTCCTCCTCTCCTCCTCCTCCTCCTCCTCCTCCTCCTCCTCCTCCTCCTCCTCCTCCTCGAGGGAGGGAGACACGCAAGGTCTCCTTACGCGAGGAGGAGCACGGGGCGCGACCAAGGAGCGCGGAGGGAGGGGGGGGGGAGGGAGGACGGCACCCAAAGGTCTTCCCTTCCCCTTCCCCGAGAAGGGGAAGGGGAAGGGAAGACCTTCCCCGAGAAGGGGAACGACGACGACGACGACGACGACGACGACGACGACGGTCGCTGATGTTGCTGCTCCTTGCCCTCCTACCCCTCCTCCTCACCCTCCCCCTCGCACCACCACCACGAGGAGGGATCAGGGAAGACGGAACAGTGACGATTAGGAGACGATTGCCGACCAGACTGAAAATCTCACCGACAGGCAACTATCGCACACTGAAAGAAGAAACTACCTCCTGTGGCGCTCTGATCGCCGTTTCTGTTGAGGAAAGCTGGGAGTACCATCAGGCCGATTGGCCTTTCCAATCTTGGACGGGACCTCCCAGTGCTGAATCTTTCCTCAGGCTCCTTTGGCCGCTGAGGAGGGATGTCCTCTACATCCACCGATGAAGCCCACACCCAGCCTTGGACGGCGCAGTGGCGAGGGAGAGAGGGAGGCGGAAAGGGGGAGGAGACCCGTGCTTCGTCAAGACGGAACCCGGTCCATGAGAGAGGAAGGCGCCAGGAAGCGCCCTGACGCTGGCTCGTATGCTGGTGGGGGCAGGCCTGATCCGAGATGACGCTCGAGGAGGGCAGCGGGAGGAGGAGGAGGATGCAAATTACCCTGGCATCCGCCGATCTGACTATTTCAATCCGCGGCCCCAGAGGTCCCGACCCCTTCTCTGGAAGTGATCCCACCAGCACTCTGGGCGCGAGTGGTTTAGAGCGTTTCCTCTTCCATCTTCCCTCTTCCCCTGCGGGGAGAAGCTTAACCCTCCACCTCCCCCCTAATCCTGGGTATAGAGGGGGGGCGGCGCGTCGTTGGAGCGTCCAAGATGGCCTCGGCGAGAAATGCAAAATTACTGATGTTACTAAGATTGTGGCCACAGTTTGGCCTCCAGGGGAGGGGGCAATGCTAATGAAGGAGCTCCCCTCCTGTGATCGATCTCCTCCAAGATTACCCCAAGATGGCACCCGAGGCCCCCAAGGATGCCCAAAGACGCCTCCAAGAGGTGCCCAGAAAGCCCCAAGAAGTCCACAAGAGGCCCCCCAAAGGCTCCCAAGGGGCCCCCAAGAGACCCCCAATAGGCCCAAGAGGCCCCCAAATGGCACGCAAGACGCCCAAAGAGGCCTCGGCGAGAAAACGGCGAGAAACGCCCAGTGGCACGCAAGACGCCCGAATTACTGATGTTACTAAGACTTTGGCCACAGTTTGGCCTCCTTGGATGGGGCACCCAGATTAAGGATCCCCCCTCCTTTGATCGACCTTCTCCAAGATAATCCCAAGATAGCACCCGAGGCCCCCAAGGGTGCCCGAAGACGTCCCCAAGAGGTGCCCAGGATGCGCCAAGAGTCCCCCAAGAGACCCAGAAGATGCCTACAAGAAGCTCCCAAGAGACCCTCAAGAAGACCTCGGAGAGAGGCACGCAAGACGCCCCAAGAGGCCTTGGCGAGAAGACGGAAATCACTGATGTTACTAAGATTTTGGCCACAGTTTGGCCTCCTTGGATGGGGCACCCTAATTAAGGAGCCCCCCTCCTTTGATCGATCTCCTCCAAGATGGCCCCATAGATGGCATCCGAGGCCCCGAAGGGTGCCCCAAGACGGCCCCAAGAGGTGTCCAGGAGGTCCCAAAAGTCCCCCAGCAGACCCCCAAGATGCCGGCAAAAAGCTCCCAAGAGACCCCCAAGAGGCCCTAAGAGGCCCTCCAGGGGCACCTCACAAGCATTGGCGAGAAGACGGAAATCACTGATTTTACAAACGCTTTGGCCACAGCTTGGCCTCCTGGGGGGGGGGCTAACGTACTACCGCCACTCCTTTGACCGATCTCATCCAAGATGACCCCAAGATGGCCCCCGACGCTCCCACGAGTGCCCCGAGACGGACCAGAGGGTTGTCCAGGAGGCCCCACGAGGCCCCAAAGAGGCCCCGAGGATACCCCCCAAGGGGCTCCCAAGAAATCCCCAAAAGGCCCCAAGAGGCTCACCAGAGACGGCCAGGACACTCCAAGAGGCTCCTGTGACTGCCAAGAGACCCCCAAAACACCCCAAGAGGACTCCAAGAAGCTCTCGTAAGAAATCCGAAGAGACTCCGAGGGGCATCCGAGACCTTTCTGCTCGCCCTCCTTCTCCTCCTCCTCCTCCTCCTCCTCCTCCTCCTCCTCCACCTTCCTTCACCATCCTTCTCCTCCTCCTCCTCCTCCTCCCCATCCTTATCATGGTCATCAGCATCATCATCATCATCATCAGCAGCATCATCAGCAGCATCATCAGCATCAGCATCATCAACAACAGCCGTGGCAACAGCGTCCTCATCATCCGCAACAACATCATCAGTATCAGCATCATCAGCATCACCATCATCATCCATCATCATCAGCCGCAGCATGATCATGATTAGCATCAGCATCATGATCATCAGCAGCAGCAGCATCATCATCGTCATCATCGTCATCACCATCATAATCATCATCAGCATCATCATCATCAACAGCATCACCAGCCTCAGACTCTCCATCATCATCGCCAACACCATCAGCATCATCAGCAGCATCAGCATCGTCGTCATCACCATGATTTGCCATCATCAGCATTATCATCAGCAGCATCACAGGAATCAGCATCATCGGCAGCAGCAACATCAGCATCAGCATCAGCCGCATCATCAGCATCATCATCACCACCACATCAGCAACATCAGTATCAGCATCATCGTCGTCCACCGATTCCTCCTCCCTCCTCCTCCATCCACACTTACACTGTGAATGTTACTCTCCTCTTCCCGCTCAACCCCCCTCCGTTGACCACGAGATCGTAGCCTGCTCCGCTCCCCGTATTAATGTTTTACACATCGGGTCCCCTACAGGTTGTCGACCAGGTATGTTTCCAATCCGAACGTTTTCGGGGTATCCAGAATGGCGATCCCGCTACAGCGTTGGAACCATGTTCTAGCTTGTGTCCCTTCCGAAGCACACTCCCGATGCAACGCTGACCTCATTTCTTTGTTGCGGATCTTCCAGGTCGCGTTCCCGTTACAGCGTTGGCTCTCATTTAGCGTTTCAGCTCTTGTTCGAACCGTCTATGTACATGTTTCGTCCTGCGTCATGTCTGGTGTCCATCTGAACCTGTTGTCTACATGAGTCGTGCTCTCGACCAGCACCACGCTTTGCGCTGCAACGCATGACTACGCAATGCAACGTCAAGCTATGACATGTTAAATACATACGCTCAATTACGCTCTACCGTGCTCATCAAGGCCGTGCTACGCCGTGCTCTACCATGCATCTCGTACCATATCGGGACCATTGCTGTTCGACATCCGACTGTGCGAATAGAGAGGAGACCTACGTCATGGTAAAGGATGGGAGGGAGTCGTATGACGTCAGATAAAGCGCTTGCGCATTTAGCTTGTCCCCCTCCCTCCCCCTCTTCCTCCTCCTCCTCCTCCTCCTCCTCCTCCTCATCCTCCTCCTCCTCCTCCTCCTCCTCCTCATCATCATCATCGGCATCAGCATCGTCATCATCATCATCATCATCATCATCATCATCATCATCATCGTCGTCATCATCATCATCATCATCATCATCAGCATCATCATCATCATTATCATCATCATCATCATCACCACCACCACCACCACCACCACCACCACCACCACCATCATCATCATCATCATCATCATCATCTTCCTCCTCCTCCTCCCATTCCTCCTCCTCCAGTTCCTCCTCCTCCTCCTCCTCCTCCTCCTCCTCCTACTCCGATTCCTGCTCCCTCCCCCTCCTGTGGGATGACGTCTTTCCGAGCCCTTTATTCCACTGCATGCTCCTCCACATCCCTGATCAGGGGAACTCGTCTGGGCATCGTTTCTGGATGGGCTGGTGGGCTTACTTTTGGGGTCCGCGGGCGCGCGAAGACGAATCGAACGCCGAGCAAGCTCGGGCGGGCCGCGCCCCGTAGCTCCGGGCTGGTGGGCTTACTTTTTGGTCGGCGGCTCCCTGGCGAAGGTCAAGAAGCGGGTCAACAACGAACGGGGCGCGAACGAAGCTAATTGGCCGCAGTGGCATTTGCACATGCGAGGGACAAAATGACCCAAATTAAACGCCAAAGGCCGGCGTAGACGTCCCGGCGGTGGGGACACCACGGCGCGGCGACAGCCGAGTCGGCGACGAGAACGCCCATTAGGCGACCTGGTGGGTTTACGCGAAGCGTCTAGAATTTGGAGGAGGTGGAAGGGCCGCGCCCCGATACAAAATCAAGCAAAACAACAAAAACACCGTCAATAGCGCAATAACCCCTCCCCCCCCGCGTCCGATCGGATGTCTGGGTGGCCAGGAGGCTGTTTCTCTTTAGGTTCTGGCAAGCTGACTCGCATGGAGACAGGAGGAAGGCGGGGGCGGGGCGACGCCCAGAAGAACATCTGCATCTCGCTCGCTCACTCACACGCCTTTTCGGCCCAGCGCTGTCCGAAGAGGCGGCAGCGGGGGGAGGGGGGTCGACATGTGTTTCTTTATCCATCAATTGGGGGCACATGCCATGCCCCCAGATCCGACGTTGCAACAGCGTCCAACATCGCAAAAAGAGTCGCGGCCGGAGCCCAAGACCCCATCTTCCTGCTGCTTTCTTCGAGTCGGATCGATCTCCGAGGGTCCCGGGGCCAGGCGGTGCGGCCGTTCATGGCGGGGCGGGGCGCTCCGAGCGCTGCAGCGGCTCGTCGAAGACGGGCCCCAGTGCCACGGCGCCGAGGCCTCGACAGGGGGCGCGGCGGCGGCGGCGGCGACGGCCAGAGGAGAAGCATCCGGATTTCCGATGATGTGATTCTCCCATCTGGGTGTCTGTTCTGGACTCTTCGGCCCGCGAGGGCCGTCCTCGGCACCCAGGCCACCAGAAATGGATACGGGGCGCACGACCTCTCCCAGGAAGGGGTCGGGGCCTTTGAGGTCGCGATCTGACGGGGGTCCCAGACATGGCGGCGCGGCACGCTAAGCAAGCGTCCCTGACAGCATTCCCCACCCCCCGCCACTGCTTTGAGCTGGAGTAGATGGTCCCGCCTGGGGGGGAAGACGCCATAGTACTTGCAGCATGTGGTGCACGGCTGCGATATCGTATAAAGAAAAACAATACAATACAATACACACACCAAAAAAAAATCGTGTGTGTTTTGTTTTTGATTTTTCCTACAAAAAAACAAAAAACAAAAATCGTGTGTGTGTGTGTTTTGTGTGTTGTTTGTTCCCCCCCACCACAGTGTGTTTTTTGTGTGTTTCCTTACATGGATTAACGACGCATGGACTAGCGACAGGGTCCGCTTCCGTGCAGACCCGGCGCGCTCCGTCGCCCAATGCAGTGGCACTGGCCTCGTGTCTCGGGACTGCCGTCCCCGATCCGTGGACCCGGCGCCCACGCGCCCGCTCCACGGATCCCTAGTCCATGCGGGCGCGCGCCCGACAATAGCTTGCGCCCTGCATGCGGTAATTGCGCATGGATGCAGTCGCGCCATTGTTTCACGTGCCACAGATGTCCCCCGTGCATCAGGTCGCGCCCCCTGCCGAAGCTGCGTACCGTTGTGAACAATAGTACAACGTTCTTACCGTCGCGGCGCGGTAGAGGCGATCCGCTCGCGCGTGAAACAAAACCGGGCTACGGAGTTGCGAGTTATCCCACAAGCAAGAGAAGGGGGAAAAGGAAGCAAAAGAAGAAGAAGAAGAAGAAGCAGGAGAAGAAGAAGAAGAAAAAGAAGAAGAAGGCAGCAGAAGAGGGAGGGAGAAAGGAGGCACTCTCACGTGGCGCCGCCGCTGGGAGGGCGCGGGGCGGCCAGGCTGCGGAGCAGCCGCTGGCAGCGGCGCGGGGCGGCGTCGCGGGCACACCCAGGGGAGGGGCCAACAGACGCAGTGCGGGCGAAGCCCAACAAGCGGAGTGGAGGGAGCAGCTGGCGGCAAGCGGACCAGGCCGCCTGGGCGGGAGTGGTGCGAAGCAGCAACTGAGGCGCGCGGCGGGGGGGCAGTGGCCAGCTCGGTGCGGCCGGCGCTGAGGCAGTGCCAGGAGGCAGCCAGCAGGACACTGCGAAGCGGGCGACAGAGTGGCAGAGCGCCACAGGGCAGCCAGTCGATGCAGGCCGAATGGGGGCGTGGCGGCGGGGGGCGACAAGCGGAGAAGCAAACGCCAGCAAAAGCGGGGGGAGAGCCGCAATGGCGGTGTCCCTCAAGTGGGGTAGCGAGCTGACGGCAGGGGCGGGGGCCAGCCTGCAGAGCCCAGGGGCGGCTGGCGCGACGCAACACACGCCCGATGTGGAGCCCAAGTACGCCGCACAACGGCGTCCGATGCAGAGGGCGGCGCCGTGCGCAAGAGGGACACGGGCGCGGGCTCCCGACGGCGAGAACAGAAGGCAGGTGAGCCGCAACGGCAGAGACCCCCAAGTGGGGCAGCGCGGGCTGCCAGCAGGGGCGGAGCCATCCTGCAGAACACGGGGGATGCGCAACCTTACACAGCTGATAAACAAAGGCATCCCTCGCCGCCAGCCCATCTGCGCCGACCCCAGCATACAACATGCAACACCACAACAACAAAAAACGACCGGACCCCCGGACCCCCGGACCCCACCTTTCTGCGATCGGTCTGTGACGGCCCTGGGGCGCGAAACTGGGCGAAAGCACCCGCTGTGAAAAAAAATGCAACACAAGGGTCTCAGGGTTCCTGACCTCGGCGGCGAGCCTGGGGGGAAGTGAGAAAGGGCGGGCCTTCTTAGAAGGTTCGGAAATCCCGCGGCCTTCTGACAAGTTTCTAAGTTTTCCTCGAAGACACGGACAAATTTTCCAGAAAGCCCGAGAAGTCCCGCCGCCTTCCGAGAAGGCCTTCTCCTTCTCACGTCCCCCCCTCGCTCGCCGCCGACGACCGCACCGCCCCCCCCCCGCCGCGCCCCGCCCAGCCCTGCACGGCGAGAAGCCAGCCGCCAGGGAAAGCGGGTGAGCGCGAATGCGCCACGCGCGCTTCCGCGGCGCAGGGCGGGCCCCGCCCCAGCGGAGCACCGGGCACCGCTCGAAGAAGCCCCTGGGCCTCCCCAGAAGGCAGCCTCCGCATAAAACGAAGCCAAAACGAGGACCTGGCGACTCTGGAGGATGCATCGGGCGCCGCGGCCTTCTCAGAGCGTGCTAGAATGCTCTTGAACGGATTTTTCCTTCTCCCAGCCCCGTCCGACCGCATCCCTGTGTCGCTGTCGGCCTTTGAGTCCGGCTCGAACGCGGCCTTCCCCCTCCCCCCCAAAAAGCAGCGGTCGCTGCTGGGGGGAGTGAATGAAACTAGAGCCTGTAGTTGCCAAAAAAACGGTGCGCGTGCCATGGTTTTCGTACGCAGATCATGCCGCTGCACCCTCTCCACGAACCATCGCGGCCAAGCCTGGCACATGCAACACCACGAAGCAGAGCACGACCACCGCGAGGAGATACGCCACAAAGACCATCTGAATGAGAAGATCGTCAATGCCAAGGTGCCGCCGAGTAAGGCACAGATGTATGGTTGGCTCTGCTGCTGCTGGTGACACCGCCGAGAGGTTTGCAGCTGTCCCACGACCTACGTTCTGGGCGGTCACATCGTCGTCACACTGTCGTCGCGACGACCATTAATGATATCACTGCAGTCTGGAAACTTCGCCAAGTCGCACACGGCACACAGGATGGCACGGGAGCCTGGCGCTAAAGTGCCATCGCAAACATCACATCGATACGACGTATCGCAGCGCGTGCACACAGGCCTAGGGCACCAAGAACCGTCATAGGTCATGCACCCCGCGCTCCGTCATGGGTCATGCACCAAGAACCGTCAGCTGGCGCAGGAAGATCAGGACGGTCAGCAGGGCCAACGCGACAGACGTTATCCAGAGCTGCCTCCACGTTCTGCACCTCACTGGACGGTAGGGGCTCCCACACGCCCGACGGGAGGAGACTCTCCTCGCCCTCGTAGGGCGCCTTGATGGCCCTCGTATCCTGCTTCGGCACCTCGACAACCAGCTCCTCGCCAGCAAGCACATCCAGGCTCAATGCCGAGAGCAAGACATCCGCCTGATCCTCAACCTCGGACTCATGCGGCGTTGTGGATCCTAAGCGCGGCCCGTGCTGTGCCTTGCGCATGTCGGCCGCCGACGCGTTGAGGATGTCGACGCCTTCCGCCACCGTGTGCCACGCGACGTTTCGCCGTAGCTTTGCAAACCCGCTAGGCTTACCACACGAGACAGCCGCGAGCAGCGCCGGTATCCCAGCCAAAATGCGCCCCGCCGTGGCGTGATCGGCCCCGAACAGAAGACTAATAACATACAAGAGGTGGTCGCAGTTCTTTCGAAGCGTCTCCGACTCCCCCTTGAGGTTGAGAGTGGCGCGGTCGGCCGAAAGGCGAGCTCAGGCACGCCTCCCCCCAGGACCTGCAGCAGGGAACCCGGGGGTGCGCATCCGCGCCCATCCCGCAGACCATTCCTCCGTGGACCAAAAGCCCTGCTCCCCCAAGTCCTTCACGCCCGCGGCAGTGCCCCGTGAGCCTGGGGTTGCAGGGTACGCCGAGGGACAAGGTCCAGGAACAGGGGCCTACGAAAACAGCCTTGAGCCAAAATGGGTACGCATTTTTGCACGTAGAGAAGGAGGAGGAAGAGGAGGATGATGATGATGAGGAGGAGGAGGAGGAGGAGGAGGAGGAGGGGGAGGAGGAGGAGGAGGGGGGGGGAAAGGGAAGAAGGAGAGCGAGAAAGAGGAGAGGGAGAAGGAAGAGGGGAAGGAACATGAAGGGCAGAGGAAGGAGCAAATGGCGACGAATAAAAACGAGGACACGGGAGACGGAGGATAAGGAGAGAGGATGGGGGAGGGAGGACGAAGGAGGAGGAGAGAGGGAAGAAAAAGGGAACGCCAGGAGCAGGGAACGGAGTAAGTAGACGAGGAAGAGAATGTGGGGATGGATCAGAAGCAATCACAGAGGCGAAGACGGCGAACGGGGGTCTGCGGGGCGGGCATGAGGATGGTCCGGGGCTGGCGGCCGAAACAGCTGGGGGCCACGGCGGAACCCCAGGGGGGCTGATCCGCAGGGTCGACAGTGTCAAGATAGAAGATAGAAGGGTCGGGGCGAAGGGGGGGGGGCGCTGGGAGGTGGGCAAAGAGGAGCTGAGCTGGCTGTGGGGGGGTGGGGGGCGCGGGGCCGGTGCCGTGCCGAAATGCAAAAATCGGAGCATAGAGGGCGCGGTGGCTGGCGGGCGGGGAAGGGCTGGACTGGCTGTGGGCGGAGGCGGGGCGCGGCACCAGCGCTGTGCTGACGCGGTCGGGGCGCAGGAGGCGCGCTGGCTGGTGGGCGAGGACACGCCTGGCTGGCTGTGGGGGGGGGATGGAGGGCGCGGCGCCGGTGGCGTGACGAAATAGCATGGGCGGGGCAGAAAGCGCGCGCTGGCTGGCGGGCAAGGAGGAGCTGGGCTGGCCCGCAGGGGCGCAGAGGAGGGCGCGCGGCGCCCGCGCCGCGCCAAAATAAGAGTCGGGCGGAGGGAGCACGCTGGCTGCTGGGCGAGGAGGAGCTGCGCTGGTCGTGGGGGGGGCAAAGGGCGCGATGCCGGTGCCGGGCACAAATGTAATTTGAGGGAGTTTCTGTGGAGCTCACGCCATCCTGACCCCCGGCGCGCAAGATAGTCGCCAACCAGCGCACCCCCAGGGACCATTTCCGGCGCTGCTCTGGGCGTGTCCCCATGAGGCGCTCTCGCTCGAGACATCCTCGCAACATCGTCCCCTGGGCTCCCAGCGCACCCCCAGAGACCATTTCCGGCGCTGCGCTGGGCGCGTCCCCGTCTGGCGCTCTCGCTGGAGACATCCTCGCAACATCGCCCCACGGGCCCCCAGCGCACCCCCCAGGGACCATTTCCGGCGCTGCACTGGGCATTTCACATCCGGCGCTCTCGCTCGAGACATCCCCCAGCGCACCCCCAGGGACCATTTCCGGCGCTGCGCTGGGCGCGTCCCCGTCTGGCGCTCTCGCTGGAGACATCCTCGCAACATCGCCCCACGGGCCCCCAGCGCACCCCACAGGGACCATTTCCGACCCTCCTGCTCCATATCGTCACCTGGCCCTCCTTCTCCACATCCTCACCCTCCTGCTCCACGCTCGCCTGATCCTCACCCACGTGACCCTCACTCTCCTGATCCTCCCCCCCGTGAGCCTCGCCGTCCTGATCCTCACGCTCATTCTCCTCTCGATCATTTTCCTCTCGCCGAGAAGCGCAGGCCCATTCTTCTATACACAGAAACTCCCGATCAACCGCAGAGCGACTGCCTAGTACAGGTGGGGGCGCAGGGGGCGTGCTGGCTGGCGAGGAGGAGCCAGGCTGGCTGTTGGGGGGGAGGTCGACTGGCTGCGGAAATGGGGGGGCGGGCGTGGCGCCAGGGCCGTGCCAAAATAATAGAGTCGGGGCGGAGGGGGCTCGCTGGCTGGTGGGGAGAAGGAGGTGGGCTGGCTGCCGAGGTGGGGCGAGGGAGGCGGACGCGGCGCCGGTGCTGGAGCCGTGCCGAAACAGGCGTCGGGGCGGACGGGGCGCGGGGAGGAGGAAGTGGGCTGGCTGCGCGCCTGTGCCGTGCCGAAATGCAAGGGTCATGGCGGAGGGGGCGTGCTGGCTGGCTGGGAGGAGGAGGAGGTGAGCGGGCGCGGTGCCAGTGCAGTGCCGAGATAAAATGATCGGGGCGGAGCGGGCTCGCTGGCTGGTGGGTGGGGGGAGGTCGACTGGCTGCTGGCGGGGCGGGCGCGGCGCCAGCGCCGTGCCGAAAGAAAGGCACTGGATGGCGGGGAAGGAGACGGGCTGGCCGCGGAGGGGGATGGGCAGGCGCGGTGCAGGTGCCGTGCCGAAACAAAGGGTCGGGGCGGAGGGGGCGCGCTGGCTAGTGGGGGAGAGGTGGGCTGGCTGCGGGGATGGAAACGTGGGCTGGCGCGGCGCCAGTGCCGTGCCCGTTGAGGCTGTCCGGGGAGGGGAAACGGGATGGCTGCTGCGGGCGGGCGGGGAGCCGGTGCTGTGCCGAAAGAAAGGGGTCGGGACGGAGAGAGTGCGCTGGCTGGTGAGGGAGGGGAGCGGCCGCGGCGCTGGTGCCGTGCCGAAATACGCGTCGGAGCGGAGGGGGCGCGCTGGATGGTGGGGAAAGAGAAGGTGGGCTTGCTGCGGGGGGGGGGGCGGGCGCGGCGCCTGTCCCGTGCCGAAATAAACAAGTCGGGGAGGAGGGAGCGCGCTCGATGGCGGGGGACGGGGCGTGGGCTGGCTGCGGAGGGGGACCGAGGACGGACTGGTGCTGTGCCGAAATAAAGTGGTCAGGGCGGAGGCGGCGCGCTGGCGGCTGCGGGGAAGGGTGGAGGGGCGGCCAATGCCGTGCCGAAATAAAACAGTTGGAGCTCTGAACACACTGTGCAAGAGAATACAGGACCACAAAGCGAGAAAACCTCCCAGGGGGCATGGTAACAAGCTATGTCCCTCAGCCACCCCAGGGGGTGAAAAGATTAACGACGAAACAGCGACAACGAACACTGCAGGTGAAGGGCTCCTCCATCTGCTCCTCCCCCTCCTCCTCCTCCTCCTCCTCCTCCTCCTCCTCCTCCTCCTCCTACCTCCTCCTCCTCCTCCTCCTCTCCTCCTCCTCCTCCTCCTCCTCCTCCTCCTCCTCCTCCTCCTCCTCCTCCTCCTCCTCCTCCTCCTCCTCTCCTCCTCCTCCTCCTCCTCCTCCTCCTCTCCTCCTCCTCCTCCTCCTCCTCCTCTCCTCCTCCTCCTCCTCCTACCTCCTCCTCCTCCTCCTCCTCCGCCTCCTCCTCCTCCTCCTCCTCCGCTCCTCCTCCTCCTCCTCCTCCTCCTCCTCCTCCTCCTCCTCCTCCTCCTCCTTCCTCCTCCTCCTCCTCCTCCTCCTCCTCCT